CTGTCCCATCCAGTGGCTTGTACCTCTGGTGCTACAAATGGGTCTATCAGTTCCAAAAATTATAGTCAGCATACGTATTTCATTAGATTAAAGGAATCATCCATTTTCTGTATTTGATACTGTAATAAGAAAAAATTTTACAAGATTGAAATACTCTTAAAATTGAAAAATGAATAGGTTATAATATACAAATATGTATTCAAAAATATGTATTACTTACAAACAAAAATCCCAAACAAAAATGAGAAGAACCACCAGAAACAGCAAAGGAATAATAAAAGAAAAATGTACCACTCAGCTTAGTAATAATCTAGCTGTGAAACAGCAGCTGTTTTTGTTTCTGTGTCTTATATTAAGGAAAACATTTAAAAGGTATAAAAAATTGTACTACAACTAATTTGTGGTATAGCAGTTGTAAATGCATATTGTATACACTAGCAATGGGATACTTGTAAGATTCAGTGTTAAAATCTAGAGAACTAATTATCAATAAGCTATTAACCTGTGCAGAAATGCCATGGGCAGAAATTACTTGAAAAAACATGCACTTTATAGAAACTTGAGAATCATCAAGAAACACACACACAAGCTATGTAGAGAATGGTCTCAAAATTATCTGAAAGAAATGGGTGCTGCTGCAGCTGCCAAAACAGCCAAATCCATTATATTTTTCACATTGCACAAATCACACTTTATGTGTAAGATGTTTTAAAGAAATTCACAAATACAAGCTTCTCTTAATGAAATAAATTTATTTATTACAATAATTTTGAATTGGCATTAATAATACTGTTTTACTTGGGCAGTAATTATTCAAATTCCAGTGACTAACTCACTTTTTATTATTTTTTAGTAAGAAGTCCAATAAAAGATTAGGTCTGTTTGTACCACCAGTACTTCCAACTTTGAAAACTCTTGCCGAAAATCACATGAAGAGTAGTGGTAAAGTTATCAAGTGGTATAAGCCTCCAGATGGTACAGTCATGCAGTGAACAAATTAAATAGCAGAGATAGAAGTCAGATATTGTTAAATAGTAAATTTTATAAATTATGTTGTTCAGTGCATCATATACTTAATTTCCCAGTTCTTCTTAAAGGTCCTTTTCTAAGCATTATGTATGGCATATAGATTGTCACTTCAATCTAGAGAATCTACATTTTTTTCATTTACAAATACTACCCCAAACTATAGAGACCATGAAGAGGAAATTTTTTAAATGTTAGATATCTACATCCTCCTTTGCCACCTGTACATAAAAGACATTTATTGTTAGTTCTCTAAAAAATATTTGTCTTTCTTAGCCTCCCCCCAAAGAAGTTTTTTTTTTTTAAATTAAGTAGATCATCTCTACAGTTAAGTATATTTAAACAATACATGGCTAAATATTTTATCTGTTTACTAGTATGCTCTTAACTAGTAAATGTTGTAAATATTTAAATTTCCTAAATTGTATTTTGCAATAAAAACAGCAGCAGCTCTTAGGTGGAGGCTTTCAGTGCAGGGCGAGCACCCCACCATCTTCCGTCTACTTGGACTGCAACTTTGAAAACTCTTGCCAAAAATCACATGAAGAGTAGTGGTAAAGTTATCAAGACAAATGGTCACTTACTCAGTAATGAAAGAAACAGTCATGTGGCAGAATTGTTTCAAAAATAAAGTACTTTTTATATTCAGGCTGTACTGACTTTTTTTTACCAGTAGAGGTCCTTAAATCCTGTTGATGGATGCAGGCTATTTTATGTGCTATGAGACTGTTGCAACACTTGCTGCTATTTCCATGACATATTTGCCAGATTTTTTTAACATGGGAGAGCCAAACTTTCATTTTTTTGAACTAGCTTTTTTTAAATGTGACTTTTAATCCCACTGAGACATAGAAAACACCAGCATCAAAAATCCAAAAGGAAATGAGTCATGTCAAGTGGCAGTGAAATAGAAATCCCTGAGAGGCTATGTGGAGACACAGGCTCCTTTTGAATTAAGAACAAAAACAACGGTTCCTTGCCCCTGTGATCTGAATTCCCTGTATTGCCCGATCAGTGTCAGTCTGTTGGTATAATAATTAAACATGATTGGTTTTGATGTGACTAAGGAAGTGGGAAGGCAGTTTAGACAGCATGACTTTGATAGTGCATGCATCATACAGTTGTCACAGTTCACTATATATTACAAATCGTTTTACTACTTTGAATATCTATGTGTTCCCACGTCTGCTCCTGCAATATTTAGATACTCATCAATTAAATATCTGTTTCACAGTAAGCAGAAGGACATATTCCTTGTCTTTCAGAGTTTATAGTCTCTTAGGGAAATGATTTAATAGAAAAATTATAGTTCATTGCATATTTAGCTTACCTCTTCCTTTAATACCTTGATTTATTTCAATAAAAAAATGTGTACTTGCATAATTATGTCTCTTATTCTGTCATGATTTAAAGATACAAGAGGACAAAAGTATTTTTCCCAATGACAGCCACGGGTCTTTTGTACTGAAAAAAACTTCTAATTACACTACATTGGCATCTGTTTGTACAAGGCTTGAGACTTCTGATTTGTCCATTTCAGTGGCTTGTTAATAAAATGGACAGCCCAATATTACTTCCGGGTATTTTTCTCTGATTAAATTATCATTTGCCCTCTCAGATCAGGCTTATTAAGAAATGTCAATCCAATTGATCTAGGTAAGAAATTTAAATTTTAGAAGTATATGCTTTTTTCAGATCATTTTCTTTTTTAGTATGTTTGTAGTACATTTTCACGTTCCTTGTGGGTAGTTGGCACGTGGACGTAACACATCTTAGTTCTTTTTTTATCCCCTTTCCCTTTTGTCCTTCCACCTTCCTCCAACCATCTTTAATCCCCTTCCTTTTTTTTTTTTTTTGTACTATATATGCTTTTATTATTCTTTTGAAAATGTTGATTTTAATAGCAATTTTGCATTTTAACCACTAGATGGCACTAAGCACATATAAGTAGGAAATAAGTTTGTTATTTTCTGAACACAAAAAGTTTTCAGCAATACACACTATAAATGTTTTTGTATCTACCTTATAAAGTTTCTTCTGCTACAGAATCTCTTTTTCTGAGTGAAGTAATCTCTCATGGCTGTTAGTTATAATTAAGAGAGACACAGTCTCGGGAATTAAATTGTTCTTTTTTCTTAAATTGGCCTTTCCTTACTAGTACCTTGTCTTCCCTGAAAAACAGAAAATGTATTTTAATGTTTGTAAAGACAATTCTAGAGCTTTTTAGGATACTAGAAGTCCTAGAAGGTTACACACAGATGTCTCTGTAAAACAAAATACAAGGAGAACTCAAACTTTGGTTTTGCTCCTTGTTTCCTGAGGTTTGAATGTTATTCTCATGTTCTTCCTTTTGTTGTGTTTGTTCTGATTATATTTTTGCAGTGTATTACTTCTGAATCAAGATGCTTTGGGCTACAGATAATAGGTGTTCTTAATATTAAAGCTATTAATGACTTATTTTACATGAGCAGAAGTCATTAGACTTGGGTAGTAGGTACTATACTTCCAATGATAATTAATTCAGTGGCTTAATCAGAGACCTGGGGATATCATGAGAGAACCAGTGCCATTCATATTTCTACTCTGACCTCCCTAGTATGTCAGACACATGCTCTATGTTGTAGACAGCTGCTGCACTTCTAGGTAGGACCTGTAATCATGGCCAGGTCCAGTAGTGGAAAAGGAACATCTCCCCCGCATCAGCAGTGTACATGACTGCCTTCTCATGAGTAGCGCACAAGGAGAGCAGGGCCTCTCTCAGTGTTCATCGGCCAGATCTGGGTGCCCTGCACCTTCCTAACAGTTCACTGGCAGGTAGAGAGAATAACCCTCCTTGGTGCAGAAAGACAGAAACCCACATCCTTCCCGGGCATACAGGGTGCCTGAGGGGAGGAGGAACCTCACACAAATAGCACTGTCCCACATACAGGAAGAGCAGGAGTGGACTGGGCAGGCAGGCAACAGTATTGGCTATGACTTCTGGTTTTGTTTGTTTTTATTTCACTTAGAGGCTCTGCTATCCTGACATTATTGAAATATAACTTCATTTCTGTTAGTTCGAGTGCATCACACTGGGCAGAGTTTCACGTGTAGCTCATACCTAGTATTGCAGAGTCAGCCATTGAGTTGAATGAAGCTCTTTGACCTATTATATTTTTCTTTTAGTGTGTTCTTCTCCCAGCAGTTAAAGACAGTAGGACCTTGGATTCTCTTTCTGTGCTCATTAGTGCAGTAGAACATTGCAACTGTTAGTGCAGTTAGAGATCAGTGGTTTTGAAATGCTGTATGATCCAGTAGCATTTCAGCCCAATCTATAGTTGTCTGCTACATATGCACAATATTCATTTTCCCCAAATATTTGGAGATACTGCCACCACCTATCTGCCTTGGAGCTCAGCCTAAATCGGTAGATACACTTAGAGAAACCCAGAGAGGACAAGCCAGCTATCTGAGTTTAATCATTAAAGTCTTTGAACATTCACTGTCAGCTGTACTGCCTCCTAGCTTTTTCTGGCTTGTTTGTCCCTGGGCTTTCCATTTTCCATCTCAGCCCGTCTCTGAGGCTGCAAGCTGGCTCTGTGGCATGTATCTGTGCCTCTGAGGAACCAAATTTCCTGAAGAGCTGCTTTGTGCTGAGGATGTGTTCCTGGTGCATTGTCTGCATATCTGGGTCTTATCTCTGTTCAGCAACCATCTGTTGAATGTTTGAATGGATATTAATCAGTTGGTATCTCAAATACAGTTAGGTTTGAAATGTTGATGATACTGTGTTTACTTCTGTTTTAATCGTTTATTAGTTCTCATCACCTAGTCAGTCAATATATCAACCATCATTACTTTTAATTTTAAAAAACTACTTTTTAAAAAGCAGTTAGCATTGCATCATTGCTATTATTTGAATGTAGTCCTTATCCCACAGCTTTCAAAGAGACTAACTTATTTAAGAAAACATTAAGTTAAATAAATGTTTAAAGAAACCTCCTGCATACCTTTATTTTTCAGAAAACTGTGGACTGTACTTTCCAGAAATAAAAAGAGATCCAGGCAGATATTTACACAGTTGTCCTGAATCTGTAAGAAAGTGGCTTCAACAGCTAAAGAATGCCGGGAAGGTTCTTCTGTTAATTACCAGTTCTCACAGTGATTACTGTAGACTGCTCTGTGAATATGCTCTTGGGTAAGTGGTGCTCCGGTCCATGTTCATTTTCATTGTCTCATAAGATACTGATAGCACATTAGATAGCAATGCTTTCTTAAAGTATCGGACCACAGCCATAACATTACATTAAATAGTGCCTGATGACAAGTGTTTTTTCTTTTCCCTCATAACAAACCTTAATATCTGCTTACAGCACCCCACTCCACCACTCCACCCGACCCCCGCCCATTTGTCAAGTATACGTTTAAGTAGAGCAGTGTTACGGAGCTGCTGTACCTGTAGCCCAGAGATGGCTGAGCTTCTAGAAACTGTCTTTAGGTCTTCCGTGAATTGTACTTCTCAGTTGTGGATAATTATTGGGGGATGCTGAGTTATGGAATACACTTCCTGGCTGACTCCTGAATTAGAGGTCCTTTCACATATTTCAGTGTGGAGCTTTGTACTTCAGGGTCTACACCACCAGCGATGGGTGTGACATGCATGAAAATGAAGGCCAGAGGAGCGCAGTCGACTGTAAACAGAGCAGACATGAGCTTATGCCCTGCTCTGCAGTTTACTGTGTTTAGAACCTCTTTATGATTTAAACTTGACACCCTGAAAACAGGACAGTAACACCTCACAGGAACAAAGGAGTGTTTAAATAATAAGGGCTGAATACTAGACAGAGTAGTTATTAGTGCTTCTCTTGGCGGCGATAGCATGATCAAAGTAGAGCAGCCCCAGGGTGGGCTCTTGGGCTCCCTGCACATCTCAGACTTCAGCAGACACAGCATCACTACGGGGAGGAAGCAGAATTAGCCTCTTAGCTGAGCTCTGCCGACGTTTTTAGCCTGAGAAATTCTTAACATGTAAGGGTTTAGTTTGTGCTGTGGTACACTTACCTGTAGGTAGATTTTTTTCCTTCTGCAGAATATTTAGGCTTGAGTTCATCGCAGTGAATAAAGGCTGGGTTCCTGGCTGTCTTGAAGGCATCTCTCATAGAGACACTTGCTGCTTTGGTGAAAGTGATGGCAAACCTTTTAGAAATGAGCACCCAAACTGCAACCCAGAACCCACGTGTCACAAAGGGCCAGTGCCACAATTAAACCTGAATGCTGAGGTCTTAGTTTAGAAAAAACAACTCATACAGTAACATCTTCTGTCCCAAAAGAAAAATAATACATGTGCCATAGATTTGCCACCACTTGTGTAGGACCATGCTTCACATTAAGCACTCAGGAGTCTTCATTCCTTTTTCATTAACAGAGATGACCGAAGTCTTTTTCCCACCTTAATTTCTACTCACTGAATTACTGATTTGTAAAAATATTCTATAATATTAGGTAAATATTATTTTTCCAGGGTGATGGTTGAGTCCTTCATTGAGAAGGACCACACTCCCTTTGCTCCAGATAGTTCTTACTATAATGCCAGATACAAGTTAAACATCATGAGGGTTTGGTTTTGTTTTGTTTTGAGACAGGTTCTCACTGTGTAGTTCAGGCTAGCCTTGAACTCATTACCATAAGTAACCCAGGCTAGCCTCAAACCTGCAGCCGTCCTCCTGCTTCAGTCTCCCAAGTTCTGGGATTACAGACATGCACCACCATACCCAGGAAAAATTGTAGTTGTTGTCATCTAAAAACTACTACATTATAAGACTAGACTGATTTTCAAAATACAGTATCTTCCTTCATATTTGAGCACCTCTCCACAAAATGTTACCAGACTCCTAATGCTTTCTGCGGAGCCATATAACACAAAAAACTGCTACTGATTCTTCAAACTAAAAAGGCCCAGCAGATTTTAGTCTCCAGATTTGAAAATTTAGCTCCTGAGTATCTCTAGCTGTTAGAAACTGTTGAATTCACCACTGCATTCTCATCCAGAGAAAGGCAGCTCTGGAGGCAGTCACTGTACTGCTTTTGTCTTGCCTGTTTTTCTTGCCTTACTTCTTTTTTTCCATTTTTGTTATGTTTATACTTCAGGGAATTGTCGGGAAGACTAGAGCTCAGCCACCCTTGATTCCCAGTGCAAAACTCATTTAGACGGTGTAAGAAAAGTGTGAAGCATGTACCAGTTGTTAATTTATGAAATATGTTGTTGCTTCTTAGGGCTGATTTTGCAGACCTTTTTGACATCGTGATTACAAATGCACTTAAGCCTGGTTTCTTCTCCCACTCACCAAGTCAGAGGCCTTTCCACGCACTCAGTAAGTTATGTCTCATTTCTCTGTGAACTTGTTGACCATTAGTTGTGTGCCGCACACTGTGGTAGACACGGCACCATGTCTTCTTTCCTTCCTCGGAGAGAAAAAGCTAATAAGCCCACTTGTATTGAGCTTTATCATTTCTTTCTTCATTTGTTTGCATATTAGTCTCTCACTCATTTTAAAAACTGAAAGACAGGGACTTTACCTTAATTTTTAAAGCCTAACTAAATGCCTCAATAAATACCTGAGGGAATGAAGTAATTGTAGTAAGTCAGACTGGCTTATTTTCTAGAACAATAGTGTCTCCAGAATCCGTTAGGATCATAACCAAATAATAACCACAACAACTGAAAAGAAAATAAATGTTCTCTCTTGGGAACCAGGCAAGACCATCAAGGCAGGACGGTTAAAATTTTCACATGAGAGGCTGGTGGAGATGACAGGAAAAGAGCAAACATTTTCCAGATGAAAAAGACGAATAAAGCAAAGTGAAATATGCATCATAGGTGCTCCCTGGAAGCTTCCTGAATAAATAGTATGTAAGTGAATAAAAAGTGGACCTCTGCCCGGCATAGAGGAGTCACAGCGTTGGAGAGTGAACGGCAGTACATTTAGTTTTACCTATCGTGTTTTTTATTCCTGTTTAAATTAATATCCAATAAGCTCAGTGGCAAATTAACATTTGAGAATTGTTCAGAAGTTTTGTTAGAAGAGGAATATCTAAAATAAGCCCAAGAATTATTGGAAGTTGAAACATTAAACCCTAACCCTAACCCTAACATGTATTTAAGATCATTAACAAAATCTATAGACCTATGTAGAGATTTAGCTTTATTTGAAATATAATGATGTAAAAGTGGATATATATTAAGAATATATATAGAATATGCTTCTACTTCTAAACATGCACTGGAGTAAGTGTTCTATAATTCTCGGACCTGTGACGCAGGTGCTTGGCTTTGCAGAACCTCCCCAGCTGGGTGCAGTGATGGCATATGCTTCTCCTTGCTTTGCCATGGCCACACGCTACATTGTTGTGGACTAAAAGTTTAAAGTCTTCAAAGAAGGCTTCGTGTCAGTCACATACATCCAAGGCTTTCATTTAACAGGATAATATAGTAGAATTTACTTTCAACTTTTGCCTCTCTGCTGTTCAGAAGCCTTGTCTGGTTCCCAAGAGAGAACATGCTGATTCAGTGCTAGGTCGCTGACTCAGTGTTCAGGTGAGTCATGGGCCCATGAGCACTGAAATCCAAGTTAGGTTCGGGGTGACAGGCGGTCCTCTATGAAACAGACAGAAGCAGACACGGAGGCATGTCAGCAAGCGCAAGGGCTGACTGCAGGCTGTCATGCTGTGAAGGTAACAACCTCTGGCTATGCTGGTGTGAAGGAGGGAGGCTTGTCTGCACACGTCAGGTGAGGGAGTTGCAAAGTAGGCCCAGAGGGGCAAGTAATGAGAGTGGAGGAAAAGTGTCCCATCTGGGGAACAGGAAAATGCAGGGGCTGTGTGGGAAAGGATTTTGTGGTATTCCGGTGAGAGAGAGCAGATGTGTCATTCCAACTGAGGGTTATGAGGACTGAGGTGGTGAGGTTAAGCAGGTTTGAATTTTATGCTGTAAGCGGTTTTGTATCTATTCCATTATTTAAGACAGAAAGGTAATAAAAAGGCTGCTTTGACTGCTGGGTGTGGAATTAGCTGGGTTCAAGAAAGATGGAGAGAAACAGGAAGATCAGTCAGCTGCAGTGTCCCAGGGGACAGGCTGCACTGGTCTGGTCTGGGACAGCAGGACTAGAGTTGGAGAGAAGCAGATGTCACGAGGTTGAAAACACTAGGCTTGGTGGTGCTTTAGAAACAGATGAAAACAAAGCAGTAACCAAAACTGACCACCAGGTTGCTGATTGTCCTTTTTTCTGAAATGAACGAGTGGCTCATTTGTAGTCATGGGGAAGAATAAAGAAGAACAGGTTGTAGGACATGGGATGATAATTATTAAGAACTCATTTTGCAGTACACTTTTGAGATTCCTATGAATTATGTAACTAGCGCTATCAATAAGAGGACTATATAAAGGCCTGGGGTGCAAGGGAAAAGGTCTAGGATCAGGAGGTGAATTTTTGAGCTGATGAGCTCACAGATGGATATTTAAAGTTACGGGCTTGAGATCAGATAGAGACAGATTATTGAGGATAACAGGCTCAGAGCGAGTCTTGGCACATGTTAGCACTGTGGCATTAAAGCATAGAGAAGATCGAGTGCACTGTGGAAGCGAGAAGCTTCGTGGTCAGGGAAGCAGAAAAGTTCAGAAAGCGGAGAGGAGAGAATGGGAAAATAGCATGGAAGCTGCCAACGAGCCTTAGAAATGAGCGAGAAATCCCCACTGGGTGGGCAGCAAGGAGACCGCTCTCGGTGCACAGTTCACACAGGGCTGGAGGTAGTATCTTGACAATATGTGGGAGGGCATGGAGCCTGTTAAGGTGGACAACTCTGTCTAGAATTTTAGCTGTGAAAGCAGAGTTGAGGTTTTAGCTGGAAGATAATGTAGGAACCAGGACACATTTTAATAAGATTAAAAATACTAGAACAGGTGAGTGTAACAACAGTTAGTGTTATCATATTAGTGTTTTTAAAGTATTGTCATTTCTGAGTAACACATTCACATATTTGTTAAGTTTCATTTTTGAACTTCATTAAGTTGCAAGAGCTTTTTCTAGAACTCCCTTGTTCTACATTCTGAAGCTCTTCTTTCCTGTTGCTGACTTATATTGATATAAACAGATCCCTATAGTCAGCATGAGTTTTGGCATTATGTAAAGATGTCACAAGAGTTGTCTGGGGCTGCACTTGGAGTAAGAACTGTCAGTTTATGGTGCCCCCAGGGATGCCAGATGAAATTTTCTTTTGTGCCACAGTTGTTCTTGTCTCCAGTAACGCCTTGTGCTACATTGCAGTCCAGGAAGCCAAAATCAGAGTTGGTCCCTGGGCCATCATTTCACGCTGACCCCAACTTGAAGTGCCCCAAGGATTTGGCCTGGCTCTAGCAGGAACAATTAGGTACTAGACAGAGGGCCACAATCCAGAGAGTGCCAGAGAGTCATGTTTGGGGTGCCTGAGGCATGATAACCCATTAATTCATCAGAAAAAGAAGCATTTTCATATATAAACAAGCAATAACTAAAATTATACTATAGACTAGCAGTCTAAAGACAAATTTTCTTTTGACTCCTTAATTTGTCCAGGTATTAGTTTCTTTACCTATAAACTGAAAGGATAGCAGCTAAGACTTTTTAAACACTTACATGGTAGACACATATGCTTCATCTGTATTAATTTATGTGTGCAGCCACTCTATGAGGTAAGCGTTGTAACTGTCCCAGTTTAAAGCTGAGAAAACAAATCAGTCACCCTCTATGCCTGCTTTTATTTTTTCTATTGTATTTATTATCTGACATTTTTAATTAAACTTATTAAAGTCACTGTCCTCATTGTAGTCCTCACAATGCACATTTTTAATATTATATGAAAAGAGAAGTTTATGTGCTTCCATTAAAAGAAATGTGCAGGGCATGGTGATGCATACCTGTAATCCCAACACTTGGGAGGCTGAGGCAGGATTGTTGTGAGTTCGAGGCCAGCCTGAACTGCATAGTGAGACCCTGTCTCAAAAAGACAAAAAGAAGGACAGCGAGTTCTCCGGGAGTGGCAGGGCTCCTGGGTCCGAGTTTGTGCTGGACGCATACCACCACGATTCCCAGCTGAAACGCGTGCACAGAGCCAGGTAGGCCCCATCCAATCCCGGAGGGCAGGACGTGAGAACAAAGACCCCGCAGACATTACAGACTGAGTCGCTGTGGTGGCAGAGAGGAGATCCGGACTGA